ATTTATATCATTATTAACAAACTAAATTTATTTAAACTGCTATAGCTATAATAATAATTATAATATAATTTTTTAGTATTTGCTAATTGCAACTATTTTTAAATTTATATATAAGATATAAAAGTTTTAATAAATTATATAGTAAAAATAAACTAACTTTAAAAATATTAAATAAATAAATAATTTTTAACCAAAAAAAAACTTATTTTAAAAATGTTTTTATAATAAAAATTAAAAATATATTACAAAAAATTTAAATAAACATATTTTTTTTAACTATTAATAGTAAGATCATTCTTTTAATTTTATTAAAATTCAAGTAAAGTTTTATAAAAAAAGCTTGGTTTTAAATTACATTGTCATAATATAGAAATTATAAACTCTAAAATTCTCTATTTATAGGGTCAATGAAAATCTCTTACATAATGTCAGATGAATTAGTACTCAAAAGAGGTATTGGATTTGGGTGAGTACTAAAGGTAAGTATTTCTTAATTAGATATCTGCGAGACTTGTTTTCATTACATTATAACCATGTTACTTATATACTTTTTCTCTATATGCTATATTTACTAATTACGCTCTATATGCTATATCTATTAATTACACTAATTACTCTATATCTACTAATTACGCTCTATATGCTATATCTACTAATTACATTGATTATGCTATATCTACTAATTATGCTCTATGTGCTATATCTACTAGTTATGCTCTATATGCTGTATCTACTAATTATGCTCTATATACTATATGCTATAATAATTACTATATATTATTACTTCATTATGTAATGTAACTTAAATGAAATATCAATAATACTATTTTGAATTGTGACAACATATAAAAAATAAAGACTTAACATATAATTTGCAATTTAAGTCTATAAAAGTAGCCTAGAATTGAATATAAATAATAATATAAAAAAAAGATAAATAAGATTTTGTTTATTGAATAGTTTAAAATTTTAATTTTAGTAATAGTTTCTGAAACTAATATAAAAGGTAAAATAAAACTAAAGAAGAAGCTATAAAATAGACTAGTAAAAGATATAATTTAAAGTTGTATAGAATATAAAATACATTAAAAAATCTATATATACTTGTATATAAGGTTTTTGTCTTAAAAATCAAGTTTATATCATATAATTTATTATATCTTATAAGGTCATTTTCAAAACAAAGACCCTATATTTGTTAATTTAAATAAAAAAAAAGTTAAATAAAAAAAATAGCTGCATGATAAAAAATAAAGATGTTATAAATAGTAAAATAAGGTTAATAAAAACTGAAATTAGAAAGAATAAAAATAAAATAATATATATATAAAAAGTTATATAGTTAAAAACTATTAAATATAAGAATTGTTTTGTATAGATTAAAGATAAGATTAGCAAATATATTGAGAAAAGTTATATTTAAAATAGAATTAAGAGAGTTGAAAAGTAAATTGTAGATTGTTTAAGAAGAGAAACAAATAGCCTAATATAAAGAGAAATTGGTTTATTATATTAATAACAAAAAAGAAAATAAAAAAAATTATATTTATATAAAATATAAAAAAAAATTAGTTTATCTAATAATAAGTTTATATAATATATAAATTGCAAAAACTAAGAAAATAAATAGCTATTTAAAAAATACAAATAAAGAAATAGTTTAAACTTTTAATAATAATACTATACAAACTTAATCTAAAAAGTAATATTAAAACTTGTAAAACTAAGTATTAGTCTTTAAGAAGGCATCTTTGTATTTAGCCAGGTTACTAGAACTATTAAAAAAAAGGTTACATGCTAAACTATATATAAACCAAAAGTATAGTTGTATCTATCTTTTTAGAATATCTAAACTAAGGCTAATAAAACTTAAATTAAATATCAAAGTAATAAAGATATATTATAAAATATTAAAGTTTATATAAATTTTGTAAGAACATAGCAGTTTATTAATTAGTTCTATTATAGCATTATTAAGTTAGCTATAAGAATAAAATATAAAAATGTCTAAAAAGCTTAATACAAATTTAAAAGTTCTTATATAAGTAAATTTGGTTAAAGATTTAGTAGTTATAGTATATTTTTATTAGTATTAGCTAGCAACAGTTAGTAGATATCAATAAGCAAATAAGTATATAAAAACTATAATATTTAAATAAAAAGCTTACAAATAGGTTTTAGACATAACAATTAGTATAAAACCTTTAAATAGACTATATAAATTAGACAATAACTAAGTAGTTAATTGTACAATCTTTTTTAATTGCTTCTTGTAATTGTTATACAACTATTAGTCAAATATAATATCATAAAATTTTAGATTGCAAATACTTATATTAATATTTAAAAAAATAATAATTAATATATATATTAAATAGTTTTATTAACTAATAATTGGTTCAGTTTAGGTTACTAATAAAATTGTCTAAGCTTTAATTATTATATATAGTTTTTATTTTGTAGTTTACAATCTTAGTATATCTTAGAATATAGTATATTAATATGTACAACTAAAATTATTAATAAAAATATAAGCAAGACCTTATCTTAATATCAAAAAAAAAATTAACTAATAATTAGTATAATACTTTAGTAAAGTAAACAAGTTATTATTTTTTCAAGTAACAGATTGTAAGTTTAAAACTTATTAATACTAAAAATTTAAATAATTATTTGTATTAGCAACTGTTTTTTGTTAATTAATTAAAATAAAATACTTATAACTATAGTTATATTAATATAACTAGCAGATTATAAAACATTTGTATAATCTTAGTTATATAAAAAAAAATGTAAACTAGTACTAGATAGTACAAATTTAAAATAAGTTCTTATAACTGTATAAATCTGTAAAATTAATAAAATAAAAATCTATTTAGAAAAACCAAGTATAAAAATAATATAAAATTTTAATAATATTATTATAAAAACTAAACCTTAAAAATAAATATTAATATAAAGAAATTAGATAAGCAAAAACCTTTAGATAAAGATATTACTAAACAAATTATCAGAATTCAAATCCAAAAAAAAAATTTAACTAAACTTGAACAGGTTATAGTTCTTTTAAATTATTTAAATTAAAAGTTTAAAAACAAAACAAAAGTATACTAAAGTACTAAATATATGCTGTAAAGTTAATACTAAATTTAAATAAACTCTATAAAAACATAGTTCTGTTAATAATTAATATTAAAATTAAGAGTTTTATTATAAATATTAACTTAACCTAAGAATCAAATTGAGAAATTAGTAGAAATAACAATTATATATTTGTTAGGAATTGTTTAAAAGTTAAGAGAATAGCCAGAACATATATAAGATTGAATAAGTGAAAAAGAATAGAATTGAGTAAATTATAATTTAATATTATATTGCTAATAGGTAATAAAAATTGATCCAGATGTTGAAGGTTGTATTCTGATTTTTTTAGCAATAATTTAGTTATTAAGTACAGTAATAAACTATAGTTTTTCATATAATAAGAAATATTCAATTATATAACTGTAGTAATTTGTATCAGATAAGTGTAAATATTAGTAAAATATATAATTATAAGAATGACTTGTAATTTGATTTTCTAAATAAATAAACTAAAGTAACTGTTTGTCTTTTGGGATCTTGTATATATAAAGAGAAATATGTTTTTAGTTTAATAAGTATAAGTTATCAAATGTAGTAAGTTTATTAAGATATAGAATATTATGATACTTAAGTTGTTTTTTAAAAGTTAAGTATTTTAGATATAAGAAGAGCAAAGATTCTAGTAAAATAAAACCTTGTTAAATAGTATGTAGAATGTTGTAAATTGGGTTAGAAATAAATATGATGTTAAGATGTTTAAAAAGTTGAATTATTTTAAAATTAGTAGTATGTTTGTTTAATGTAATTTTATTATTTAAATTATTTTAAAATTTTAAAATATTAAATTTATTTTTTAAATAATATTAAAATATAATTATTAATTTACTTAATATAATTTTAATAATTTTTTTTTATATTTAAAAAATTTTTAAATATTTTAGAATTTTTCTTACTTTTTATGACTAAACTTGTGTTTTATTAAGTCTATTATATAATGTTTTAAGTTTCTAATATTATAAAATAAAACTCATATTATCTAGATTTGCAATTCTTTATTTTATATAACTTACTAACTATATTATTTATTTTAGATTAAATTTATTCAATTTTAGTATTTTTTGTTAATAAATTATATTTTTATGATCATTTCTAACTTTATTATTATGTCAACAGACTACATAAATATAAATTCTGTTTTTACTTAATTTTTAGTTATATTTTTATATATTATTTAATTATGCTTCTAACTAAATTTAACTTTTTAGTTGAATTTGAACCTGTAACTTTGTAACAGTAACTACAGAGTTCTAACTACTACACTATTAATTCAAAATTCATAATTTTGATATTTAATATATAATTATTTAAAAAAACAAGTTTAAAAAAAATTATTTATAAAAAACTTTTATATAATTACCAAGTATGTTTAAAATATAAATATGATTATGTAAAATATTCTATAAAATTACACCTTTATATAATCATCAATTTTGTACTCTAAAGGTGTAATTATACAGAAATTTAACTGTAAACTAAATATAAATAAAGTTTAAAGTAAACTCAATTTAAATCAATAAAATTTGAAAAAAACTAAATATAAATTAATAAAATTTAAAATAAACAAATATAAATTAATAAAATTTAAAATAAACCAGATTTAAATTAATAAAATTTAAAATAAACTAGATCTAAATTAATAAAATTTAAAACAAACTAAATAAAATTAAAAAATTTACAACAAACTAAATATAAATTAATAAAATTTAAAATAAACCTAAATATAAATTAATAAAATTTAATATTATATGCAAAATATATAATTAGTAAAACTTCAAAACATAAAAATATATTAAAAATTATTAAAAAAAATGCTGTGACGTATAATGAATAAAGAAAAGACTAATCAGAGATCATGCCTATGGAATATGCATATCATCTGGAGTACATATCCAAGTCGAATCATTCTTTTGACGTTCCCCAATAACCTTATACCAATCAGTTTTGTTATGCATTCCGTTACATCCAGCTAAAGTATCAAAAGTATAACCCGCCTTTATTGCATTTTCAATATTAAATGGTACTAAATCCTCAACGGTAGTAAGGACCCTATCATGATTTAATACAATGTGTGGCTTTGCATCACTAATTCCATTTAAAAAAAGTTCCTTTGCAATTGTTTCATTACCCAGAAAATCATTGGTATCAATATCCCAAAGTGCAAAAAATTTATATCCACGTTGTATTAAGTTTGTTCTTAATGCATCGTAATTCATACCTTCACCAAATGGGAGTCGGAAAAATCGAGGGATTACACCAAGGATTTTAATAAATGCTGTTTCTAACTTATCGATTTGGTAGTTGACTTCTTTAGGTGTCACCTGAGCCATATGAGGATGCGACCATGTATGATGAGCAAATTGATGGCCTTCATCATATATTCGACGCACGATATCAGCGTAATCGTATATACAATAATTTAAAGCATTATGACCATTGAAAAAGAAAGTGGCTTTTATATCATGTTTTTTTAATTCATCAAGTAATTCATTTGTCCACTGTAAAATAAAAAAAACTTAAGTTTATTGAAATGTATGAAAGCATAATTTTAAAATTAATACAGTAATATACCGGACGTGGACCATCATCAAAAGTTAATGCCAAAGTTCTTTCACTTTGGCATGAATTAATAATCTTTAAACTATCATTTAAAAGACCACAGAAACCATAATCTTTCTGACATCCATCTCCACAATATACTATGATATAAAATAATTTATTTAGAATCTGACATTTAAACAAAGTCATATAAATAATAAATTCAAATACCTGCGGTACCACCACAATAACCGTCTTGTGAACAACAGTCAAAATTACCACATGATCTATTAACACTAACACCACACGTGCCGTCTTGTGTGATTGGGTAGGAAGTAGTATTGTTAAATTGTGCAAATACGCATGAAATATTCATTATACATATTGCAATGATCAAAAAATTTATTCTTGCCATTCTGTTATTTATGTATTTAGCCTAGAGCTGTACAATATTTGAAATGCTACATAATATTTTTTCGATCTTTAAATAGGAAATTATTTCATAGTAACATGATTTTGTAGCATAGAAAAAAAGGATCTCTGACAATATGCAGTAAATGACCCTACTTTATAATCGATTGATTAATATTACATTTTATTAATAGGGTCACCTATACTACAAAAGATCCGAAAAAAATCGAATCAAAAAGAAAACTTAATATGGAATAATGCACTGACGATTTCCCCAAATACATTTGCATAGTAATAAAAAACACATAAAGTGGAGGTTTAGGACTTGGAAAAAATGTTGGAAGAGCAATTTACTATTATACAGATTTTACCGATCACCATGCAGTCACTATGCAGATTCACTTTGTGCTTAATTATATGAGTGAAAATCCGGAAATACACTTAATGATTTATTGTGATTGGTTACGGGTTTTCTTTCTCACGCACTGACAAACTTTAATTATGTAAATCAATACTTTAAATGTCAAATTATATAGTGATATAATTTCAAGTAACCAGATGTTGTTAATATTTGTTGAACCTATGTCAAGACAAACGGTTGACGATGGACAAAACCATTGACGAATGAATCTGGTCGATAAAAAACCAAATACAGTTAGCCTTCATTTATTGAGCTTCTTAGATACATTTGTTTTTTTTTAAGCTATCGTGATCTATATTCCGTTTTTTTGTAATGTGACTGGTCAATTTTAAGATCTACCCACTTTCGAATACTGTTGCATAAACAACTCTCTAGCATAACCACCCTAAAAGTATGATTGCTACTCAGCATTATAAATTTATGGTGATTTTATTATAAAAAATTTTGTTAAATTGTACATAGTGTCTTTACCATAAAAATCACCTTCTGACATTTCTGATATATAATTATCTTATGCCTTGGTTGTAGTGATGCAAATCTAAAATTGAATTAATTAATTAATTGTAAAATTGTTAACTAATCGATTGGAATTTACAAACCTAACTTAGTCGACTAGTTGACTAGTCAACGTCCAAAACTGATGGGTTTTTGTCATAAAGAAATATCTCAATTAAGATTAGTCGATTGGTCAATTAATCGATTAATTGAATAAAACCGAATAATCGACTCGTTGGATAAAATTTATCAATCGTCAATTGAAAAACTTTTGCCGATTTGTATCATTATTGTTGATCCAATAGTTTGTTCAATGAGCTATTGAATCAATAAAGATAAAAGATGATCTGCACATAGAAATGAACCAGTATTAGGTCTGTCTTTGTCCGAAATATCCCATTCATTCCGATCAGAAATGTCAGAAGATGATTTTTAAGGTGAAAAATCCCATATATCGACAAATAATTTAAACATTGTCATTATAATTACCGTTACCAAATTCTTCATCATTATAAACAGATCATTAAGCATATGAAATATGTATACTCACTGACAATTATTACTAAAAATATCTACAACTAATTTAGTAACTAATTTAAATGGAACTACCCGGCAGATTTTCACTGATCTGCAATTTTTTGGTTTATGATTATAACGATAGTTGCCTTAAACTAAAATTTTGTAAAAAAATTTTTCACTAATGCGCAGAAGATGGTACATAGACGAAATTTTGAGTTTCGATACTCAAAATGATTTACATGTAAAAATAAGCTGCTGTAACACCCCAAATGTTAACCTTAACCTATGTGGTCAACTAAATGAAAATGAACTCTCGATAAAATGCCCGATAAACTATGCCAAGAACGATCTGTTTTAAATAATAAAGAGATGCCAAATTATCAGTTTCATTATAAAGCTTCACTAATTCATATAAAATAGTAACTTTTTAAATATCTTTTTTTAGTTCGTGATTATACAATAAAATTAACAAGCTCATACAAATATTAGCTTTAATTTTACATTCTGAAATCGATAATATTTGTTTTTTCATGTGATTTTATTCCCGAAACGTTTATCTCCAAGTGATGAATAATATCAGATATGCATTTCATAAAAAAAAAAGACAGATAAAAAGTAGAAAAAGAGTAGATATAATAATGGAAATAAAAATATTAAATTTATGTGAACCATTTTATTTTCATTATGAAAGAAAGTAAGGATTGTCTCATGCATCATTAATCATCGTAGGTTTCGTCATAAGATTTGTTATTCAGAAGTTGCTTGTTGAGAGGTTTCGTAAATCGTCAATGATGAATATTTTGTCATTCATTAGGCATCTTTAGTCGACGATTATAACTAATGAAATAAAGTATTATTTTATCTAAAAGTTTTAATGCATGTATAATAATTAATATCAAATACGTATAAGTTGGAATGATAGACTTATAACTTAATGAATATTTTCAATGGACTATACTCTTCCATATTTGTCCCGTTTATTAAGTTGTTATCTTCCATAATTGTATCACCATAGTCATGTTAATCTTACCATTATAGTATTAAGTAGAGATAATGTAGACATTTTAAAATTTAAAGGTGCACATAGAAATTACTATATAATTTTAATGTAACAAAAATCAATAAAATATTATATTTTATATTATATGTAATATTAAATAATATGTAATATAAGTTAGTAATTTTTTATTTGTATAAAGTAGATTAACCTTCAGTCTAAGGATAGGAAAAATTAAATATATTGGATATAAATCTTGTTTTTTGATTTTGTAAAACACCATAAATGCATAATATTACATGTTGCATGTTGCATTATACTGCGTTATGCAATGCAGAGACAAAAAAACATGCATTCGCACATCTCTAAGCATTCTTATGTATTCTTAATAGCTTAACCCTTTGTGGATTCCCTTAGTCCCGTATATACAGTTGCGTAAATTTGATACATGTAGCATCACTAGTCCAAAGTCAAACTCGGAACTCATATGTCATATGCATCTTGAACGTTTAAGAGTGTTCTCAAGCACTTCAATCAATAGACCGAAGGCAAAATTTTAATTAGTTGGAAATTGAACAAACCAAACAAGTGAATCATCATTTCAATGAATAACCTGAAGGTGTAGACCATCTTTTTTTCATAGAACTGGCATTATTGGCTAAAATTTAGAACCTGCATTTCGCACAATGAATTTTTAACAAGTTGTCCTTCGATTGACCACATTAACCACTCAATTAATTGTAATAATTTGAGTAACATCCTAAATATAGCCAAAAAAAAAGAGAATCCATGAATATTTTGCATGTGTATACATTTCTTTTTAATTCTATATACCAAGAACGGAGTTTGCACAATGTGCAATGTAGTGTATGGTTTACATGTGAGTTAAATGGTGTGTACAAAATCTTGGATCTGGTTCGATGATAAATCTAGAGGTTGGAACCGGTTTTAATAATTCGGGTTTATCACATGAATTTTGTGATATTTTAGAATTTATTGGGATTTAATTGGATAAATTTCTAAAATATTCCAAAACTCACGGAATAAACTCGAATTATTAAAACCGGTTCCAACCTCTAGATCAACCCTTGTGACTTTGTGTAGTGTGAGCCCGATTTTCGGGGTAACAGGTGACCGAATCGAAGCGACGCGGAAATATCACATATGTTACTTACGTCGCTTCTACGACTTCGCCTACATATGAGTTAAACGAAATATTAGTGTTTTATTAGACTTAGTTAGGATATAGAATATAAGAAATC